TAGTACGCGGAGTAGCTGTGGAGCTGGAAGCTGAGAACTGGTGACTTGGTAGTACAACTTTAGTACGCGGAGCAATCTGTGGAGCTGGAAGCTGAGAACTGAGAACTGGCGACTTTGTAGTACAACTTTAGTACGCGGAGTAGCTGGGGAGCTGGAAGATGAGAACTGGCGACTTGGTAGTACAACTTTAGTACGCGGAGTAGCTGGGCGGTGGGAAGATGAGAACTGGCGACTTGGTAGTACAACTTGAGTCCGCGGAGTATCTCGGGAGCTGGAAGATGAGCACTGGCGACTTTGTAGTACAACTGTAGTACGCGGAGTAGCTGGGGAGCTCGAAGATGAGAACTGGTGACTTGGTAGTACAACATTAGTACGCGGAGTATCCGGGGAGCTGGAAGATGAGAACTGGCGACTTGGTAGTACAACTTGAGTACGCGGAGTATCTGGGGAGCTGGAAGATGAGAACTGGCGACTTGCTAGTAGAACTTTAGTACACGGAGCAATCTGTGGAGCTGGAAGATGAGAACTGGCGACTTTGTAGTACAACTTTACTACGCGGAGGTGACTTTCGAGAGGTGAAGAACTTGCAGAAAACAGGTGTTCCTGCGCTTCAGAAAGACATACAGAGAGAGACACATACACACACAGAGACCCACACACTGCCTCAACACACTCGACTTAACACTTCACACTGAACACTTATAACACACTTAACAGATAACTCGCACTCTGACTTCCTACGTGATGAAAAATGCTTTCGGGCCACTCGTCGTCTAGTATGTTTTTTTCAGCAGGGTGCCACCGGGGTCCCAAAGGAGCGGTGGCCAACGAAGACCTCCTCTGCGACCCGTGTAAACGTACCTGCCAAACTGGTTGCCCGTTGTTCTCGCTCTGGTTTGCTTACATGGTGGCTCATGTATGTGGTTCTGTTAATAACCGCAGCTCGCGTTTCGTGTTTTACCTTTCACCTGATTTCTTAGGCGTTCATACCTAGGTGGGCGTGTAGCGAGCGGCATTCGAGTCAGCACGCATTTCAATAAGTGTGCGTCAACTCCTGTTTCCAAGGAATATGACCACACTAAGGGACATTCATTTGTACAGAGCAGGGGGCCAGGCAGGATACATCGTCGCCTGGTCAACGAAGCTCGCGATGTATCTGAGGATATGGAAATGGGACGCCATTTCCACGTACCTGCACTGCTATCCAGGGAGGCAGAAGGAAATGGTTCTCGGCGCACTGTGTGCGTCGGTTCCTTTCCTTCTGTTGACCCTTTTCTACTCTAATGGGGCGATTCGAAAGTCTCGCCCCCAAGCTACAAACTGGAAATTTAATTTCCTTTTCTAGCTATTTTCTACCCTATTTGAAGCGATTCCTTTGGTCTCTCTTCCAAATGAAACTTACTCCATTATGCACAGCCGTAGTTCGGGACCGCTAAGTTTTCAGTAACTAAACTGCTGCAGTTGCGCATAAAACAAGTTGTTAAAACACCTGCAAGTGAACTGGACTCAGCGATCTTACCGTTCGGTCATTCCTTTTCCCTGGAGTTCAAAACTGATACAGCTCTTGCGAGCCATGATCTAAGTGTGTATATATATGTATACATACATATACCCCCGCAATCCCTGTTTAAAAAAGACCTCAAAAACAACATCAACATGTGCAGAGATCACTGTTTAAATACCACTGAAAAGTGCAAACAGGTAGGGCTTTGGGGGAGGTACCATACATTTATATGTGTATATAAATATATATACTGTATATATATATATATATAAAACACTATACAAGATGCTGCACACTATGTGTAATTAGGCCCTACGACTCGGAAGTTAAGGAGAACCTGTCTTCTGGAGCAAGCGCCGCTTCATTGCGGCCAGCTGATTGCCCTTTTCGGCTCGGCTGTGTTGCCCCAAATACTTTCGGGTCAGGAGCACTCAGACTCAGTCGTCTGCGTCTGCGCTCGTCAAAGTGCCTCATCTTGCTCCCACTTAGTGGGATTCTAATATGTTTTTTTTGCCATCAAAACATGTTTCCGTTTGTATTGTTTGTATGTTTCTTTTGCAGGAGGTAAGCAAACATGCGTTCGGTGCAGTCGTATGAATGTACGGATGCCCAAGTTTCAACTCGGCTCCTACATTACCCGGCAGGCCAGCATGTTTTTGATGCAATTTAAAACTTACGTAATCACATAAATCAAAAGAATTGCCAACCATCGGCAGTCAATCTTTTGCCGGGCAGTGTAGCCACGGCTACCCGCCATGACTTCCATTTCTCGTGCACACTGAGGTGCAGCTATTTCCCTGACTAACCAATCAGCCTGGTCATTCTGGCTATTCTGGCTGCTTCGGCCATAGTGGCTGTTTCAACAAGGAAGGTGCAAAGATTTGTCTGTGAATGAGACCTTGAAAGTGGGCCGCTTCAGCTCAGCAGTGTGAACAGTGTGAAGAAGAATAATTGGGTCTACTGTCTACTTTCTTGGCTGCTTCCGACGCAAGTCGCTTTCTGTGCGGCATTCCAATCGAGGATTTCCAGGCACAAGGCGTAGACAGTGTAGACAATACATCTTACAGTAATTTGAAAATCTTGCTTTGGGAGCAATTCTGTCTCCCACCTCGCAACTGCATATTCAGCGCCCGGCTCTGTCTGTTTCCTGCCATAGGGCCTGGGGCGCAGGACCTTCTCCATTTCATCAATGCTCGCAATTCTGTTCCCAGATTCTTCAAGAAATCAGGCGGCCAACCTTCGGTTGGTCCGGCCAGGCCTTCGGCCTGCCCTTCCCAATTTTCTCTCCAATACAATGAGGGGCCACAGTCACTCGATGCCAGAACCTCAGTGATATAATCGTCGAGAAGGTTCTATGAGTGAAGTGAGGCGACAATGTACTTTGCTCGCAGCTGACCAAAAATGAAGGCTACACGGAGGGTGTGTGGAGAAAGGGGGCCAGCAAAAATCGCTTATACGAAGTTAGTGCATCAAAAATACCTTCCACAAAGTTCTGCGAAGGTTTCTGGGATTTCGTTGCAGTCAGTTCTCCTACTGGCCCACCATACCACGAACTGTCCACGAACAGCCTTGGGTTCTACGAAGGTCACGCGCCTTCCACGACGTTAGTAGAATAGGTTTTTGCAAAACCCATTCTGTGCACTACCCTTCCGTTTGCCTTTGAAAAAATGAATGCAGCCCTAGCGACCTCCATTCGACTGGTGCCATAAATAAACATGTCTCCAGTTTCAGGGTGGGACAGGTTTTGCTCGGCAAGCTCGTGCAAGTTCTTGTCAAGAGCTACTGCCTGCCGTTTGCCACCAGCCAATGTCAATGGTAGCTCTCAGCCACACGAAGCTCACAAGACATCTGGTGACCTCAAGCTACTCAAGCTCATGCGGCCGAAGTCTGTGGCAGTTGCAAATCCTTCTCCCGACGCAAGGTGCGGTTGGTGTGTTCATATTTCTCTGTGAGGACTGCATCTCAGTGATCTTGCTTGCTTGGCTCGGAGCCGCATACGGCCGCATCAGCTTTTGCCAGGATGGAACTCCCCAACCAACGGCACTAATCAGTCGGCTGTGAGTCGTTAAGGCCGTGCGGCCCACTTAGAATGTGTCTTGACAATCTTATGGAATTGGGCCCCAGCAACAACATTGGGCTTCTTCCCATCCCAGTATGCTCGCGGCGGTGAGGTGGTGAGTGGGCGTGCATTGCATCTTCTGGGTTTCAGCCACACACTCCCTGGCGCCACAGCAGCGTGTCACACACCGGAGTTTCAGAGCCACTGCACCCAAAAAGAAGCCCAAACATAAAGCACATGGATCAAACAAGCATCATATAGCCAAGCAAGCCTCAGAGTGAATGTAGTGCACATGTATTTCTTTACATCATATTTATGAATTTGCACATCTCGCATGCATATATATATATTATGCAGCCCAATCGCCGGCCTTTCGCCGCGAAACAACTTCCCTTTACATAATTCCGTTGTGCATTTACGGACGGCACTCATGTGGTGATATATGATATGTATTGTTTCTCATTCTCTCTCTCTCTCTTGCCTTTGTATAGCATACTTTTGTTATTTTCAGCCAAGAGCTCCCGGTCCCAGGCACAGGTCGTAATATATATATATATAACAATGATCAACAATGCGAAGCCAACGCATCAATTGTCATCTTGATATTATGGTTCGCACAAATCAGGTTCTTGGGGGGCGGACCTACATATTCTGTATAATTCAGAATCCGTGAGGCTCTCTTGAATCATCCTTCCTTAAAACCCTTCAGCCTGAAGCCCATTGCCATCGATCTCCACCCACCAAATCAAATAGTTTTTCCCTCCGATGACCGTCTCTTCCTGGCTCAGCCATCATGTCTCATCTGAAGGTCATGGAACAACGGTATAAAACAACGCAAGGATATATACGCAAGGTAACTTCTACACTGTTCCCCAAAGCTCCATGAGCGGTCAGTGGCAGGGACATGTCATACATAACATCATAGCAGTCCAAGAATCCACAGCTCTCTGCCAAATCTGGAGGCGGGTTCCGTCCCTGCGGCTGTGTGGTTTCCATGCTGATGCTTCTCCTTTAAGAAGCTGAGAGATCCTCGGAATTGTTTCAACTGCTTGCACCAAAAATCTTCGGTGTGATAACATGCAGATGCAAGCTTTCCGATATTTCACCGACTACTGTAAATGAAAAATACTAACAAGCTCGCTGCTATGATTTTTTGGAGGTTCTAAATTGCGCCCAGCTGCTTCTTCACCACTGCATCGCGCATGGCTTGCTCCCTCAGCCTCAGTCGTCTCTCCGCCACCACTTGATGTTCATGGCATGGCACTCAGCTCACCCCACTTCTGCATTCTGTTAATTGTACCAAGGTGCCCTGAAATGGTTGTGATAAGCTGCTGCAGGAAGAAGGAGCTCCTCAATCGGAGAACGAGAGCATTGGGACTCATGTTTGCAAGTCTTCCCTTAACATCCTGAGACAGCATCCTTTCATCAAGCATGTAGCTTTCTGGCAACAAATCGATCCAACTGGTGGATGTCAAGCAGGAGTAGGTTCGTACCCTTGAGCCCCTTGATGTCAGAAAGGCTTGCCCCCCTGTTTGGGCAGCACCTTAGCCTCCCGTAAACCCTAACCCCTTGTTGCCATCCTGTGAGTGTACCCAGCTCATACCATTGGTGAGGTAGAAACGTTATGATCTCCAACGTCTCGCAACGAAACGCTATTCACACCCATTCGCAGAACTGAGCCATTTACCAGATTGTGCCATCGCCATCATCTTGCACACCCAAAGGAACCGCCTGGAGACAGCAAGTTGCAGGAGTTGCACAATGTGTTACCTTTAAAGGGCATTTTTGGGGAGCGCACATGCAACCCAGATTTTGGTGAGTGAAAAAACGCACAGCGCAGTCAAAAGGAAAGAGAGAGAGAGAGAGAGAGAGAAAAAAAAAGAGGCTCATTCATGAGGTGCGCTGCATGTCTGCGAAGGATCAAGAGCTGTGCAACTCATGCAGGGATTGCTGCCAAAGAGCATTAAAAATGCCCGGGCATTGCGGTGAAATCCCTGGAAGATGAGATGAAGCAACTGGTTGAGGAGACGGCTCACAAAATGCCAGAAGCTTTGGCTGCCACAGGTGCTGGCAAAAGCTTCCTCGCGGAGGCCTTGAAGCCCCTCCAGGAAGCAGACAGCTTGGCTGGACCTGTCCATGGAAGGCCGTTTTTGAGAAAGTCAAAGGAACCGGAAGGTACCTAGACCTAGTTTGCCAGGAAGGCCGCACTTCTTGGATCTGGGCTGATCGTGTCAGTGCACCAAGGTGGTGCTGTGATCACTCTGGACAGCCTTGGTTTCCAGGTAAGTGGCAAGCTCAGCAAGGACCTTCCTTGACGAGCCACCCGAGCTCCTCTTGTGGAACCCCCACCAGGCCTGAATGTCAAGAAGCATGTCACTCACCCCTCTGTCTGATGCTGATGTGCTTCTAGATGTATTGGAGCTCCTTGACACCGGAAGTGCAGCAGGCTTTGAAGCAGGTTGGTGTGGAACACGGAGCCACCAGTGCCAGCCTTGGAGAATTTTGTTTGAAAGCACATCTGACAGATCTGTATACCTACTTAGGTGAAGCTAGCTGTAGAAACTTTGTTGGCGCCGCGCAAAACAGTTCTATGAATGTCACCACCTTGCTGAAGGCTACTGTTGTGGAGCTTCATCAACTGGGCAACCGGAAGAACTCATTCCAAAAGAAAGTCGATCATGCCAAGGAGCAGTAAAAACAATTGTTGGATGACTTGAAAGGAGTGCAAGAAGCCATAGACTCGACAAGGAACAACGACAGCTCAGCCAGCAGTCTGCAGAGCATGCCAAAGTCCTCAAAGCAGAGGAGGTGATCACTATGATTCATTTTGATTCACTATAGTATACCCGCGCCGGAGACGGTGATTGACATGGACAGTGCTACGGCAGGTGCAAGCTATTCACAGGCTGGTGCAAGCATGGCCGCCAGCACTTTGATCGTCCCGAAGGATAGCACCAGTTGCACTGGGAGGCCCAGCACAGGCAGAGAAGAGCTCATCAAGCAAATGGTGGACACCACGGCAGGCAATGGAGCCTATGTCACTGGGCACTGCCGGCAGCTGCAAGGAGGCCAAATCAAATGTACCAAGTGTTGGACAAAGGCCAGTCGCAGGAGCCTGGTTTGGGCCTTAGGCGGCCTATGTGTATGGATGTTGGTTGCTCCTGAATGCGATCGGTTTCAAGAGCGGCTTGGAAAACCGTGGCGGGAGGAGCCAAGACAGAGGCTGTGATCTATGGAGTGGAAGCGACTGCGGACCTATCACGCTGTATAGTCCGGCGCAGCTCAAAATAATTGGGCAGAGATCCAAGGGCTGCGTCTAGCAGCAAACAACCCTTCAAGTGGCTGCCACTCGTGTTCCAGGATGAAGTACCCCACACCCTCCTTCCATGCGGAAGTCTACTGGGTGGCGGTGAAG